AACTAAACTTGATAATTTATGTTACAATTTTAACATAAATGCACATTGTTCTAGAAGGATGGCAAATTCATGCCATACCTTTTACACATTTACTCGAATTGGTATGCTGATAATACAATTTGTAAGGAAAAATGCATTCAATAGCGAGGTATTTCTGGGGAAACGTTTTCAAAGGAAAACACACACACACACACTCACATGTCTCTTTGCTGAGCCGCGGCGGTCTCGGTGAATCAGCAGCATCCACAACTGAATGGAACAAAAAGTGTTGAACTTGAAAATTGTTTATGCATGAGTGCACTTGCTAAATGAAGGCGGATAGTATAAAATGGATTTAAAAAAAAAACGTTTTCACAGTACGCATCGCGCACTCAAACTCATCAAAAGTCAACAAGTTCAACAAGCAACAACGACTTATCCAAGTGACTTATATTATTCAACTATAAATGAACAAACTAGATGTTTTCTGGAGTTTCTTTAGAGTCATTAAACACTTATCCTAGTGAAGGCAAGCAAAATGAATGGAAAGTAGGCTAGATACTGAGCTGTCACCGATACTGTCACTGAACTGAAGTAAGAAATCAAGCAAAAAAAAAAAAATGTTTCATCCTCCTATTAAACACCCACAGAAATAGTGGTGGGATTTATTTTCTGCGTGACACCGAATGTTGCATGTTTATTCATCACAGTTGTTGTTATCACACTGACCCCAATTTGACCCCTTTTATAGTTTAATCAGTGCTCTTTTATAATCACTGCTTAACAGCACCAATTAAATATTAATTTGCAGTTATTAAGCAATTACATGATCACAGATGCATCCACTTGGGAAATAAGGACACTTGGGCCCACTGTAGATATTTCTCATTATTATGCATTATGTGTCAGATTATAAACGCTCCTGATTCCAAAGGGTGTTTTTTTTGGTCTGATAGTGTTCACTGTGTAATTCTGAAAGCTGAATGATTCATATTTTTAGTGTAAAACACAGAGATTGCCATCACAACAGTAGTTTTATGATAGCACGCTGGTCTGTGACTCAAATATTCCTGAGGCTGAAAAAGACTAAACCTGGAAAAAAATTACTTTTCCTTTCATTTAATTTTCTTCTTGAGAAATACAAAAAAAAAAGACAAGTAAATTATGTTCACTAAGCTCCGCCGTTACTGAGCAATACTACCTTTGCAACTGTTGCCATGTGCCATATCAGACAAGTTTTTGCGCTTTTCTAATGTACTGTACATCGAAGGAACTGTGTGTTTAGATGGAATTTTACAGAAATTATGGCAAATTACATTAAATTGCATTCTGTGGATTACATATGTATTTCATTATTTTTTATACTCATAGGCAAATCATTTTCTCTTACTTTATGTATACATTTTATTAAAAAGAAAGTGAATTTTGAATTTTCTTAAAACAAGGAAAAAAAAAAAAATATATATATATATAAAAAAACATTTTCTTCTGAAGTTTTATCTTACACAAATCCTTTTTTTATTATTATTAATTTTCTAAACATCTCACTCACGTTTGGCACGGGCCTCCTGCTCTTTCTCCCTCAGTTCTTTCTGGGTGGAGAACTCACTCAGGGTGATTTTTGGTGTGGTGTCATTCTGGCCCACCGTACTGATCATCTCCTGCTCTTTCTCATGGTTCACCTCCGCATAGATGTTAATCCAGGGGATTTTTCTGTAGAGCAAGATTTTGTTGGGAAAAACCATCAGCGTTAATGATATTTTTTTTTAAAAGGAGTAGTGTAATTTCTGTGCCACTAGTGGCACCAAACTACACATTTGTAATCATTTTGTGTGAGCAGAAATGTAGAAATCTCAAATCCGATTATTAAAAAAGACAAATGTGAAAAAAAAAAAAAGATTGATTTTGTGCCAATTTCAGTGGCAAATTGGCATAACATGCATGACAACACAAGGAGAGGGCTGTGCGCATGAAAACTGGTTAAACTGCAAAACAACAAGTTGTTAAATACGGTGTGACTGCAATCACAATCCTTATTGTATTCCTGAAATAATGACAGTGATAATTGCCGAGTATATTTAATAACTTCTGTAAAGGAAGTTGCCCAGGCAATCAGAGGTACCGCAAAGCAAAATACATTCGCCACTTGTCTTGATAAATTTCATGGTGTGCTTTTCCAACACACTGACCACAGTGTAATGTGTTTGCTATTTTTCAAGCTCACTTTATATTTTTATGAATTAGAATGTGTATTTGCTTTTTTTTTTTTTTTTTCCAAATTACTATTAATTTTGCGAACTAATTGCTTTGTTTTTCCAAGTGTAACATTTCCATAAATACACTTCCTTTTTGAAAATGACTTGGGGGGAGACAAATTATATCCATTATTAATGATTGTTTCAACAATTCCCTGAGTCTTTTCCATTTGAATTATTTTGAGACAAAATAAATTATTCAAAGCGCTACAAAACAGTTTTCCAGTAGAGGAACCATGGCTGCATATTAAACAATTCATTGATATTTTCCTGCACTTTCAGTATGTTTTCAGTATGTTTCAAACATGTTTTTTTCCATGTTTCTACCATATCCAAACTAATAACTAGATTTTACAACTAGCATGAGTAAAAATAGCACTCTCGAAACATCCCATATACAAAGGAAAGTTGCTCCTGATTCCATCCCATCAAATCTTACTTTATATTTCATCTTTATATAGATGAACAGAAACGAGAACTATGGTGTGCATGAAATGAAGAAATGAAGTTCAATGGCTCGAGTCCTGGTAAAAAAGATTAAGTGATGTAAAAACTGTTTGCATGGATGTACCTCTTAAATTTGTAGATGAGAAATACAGCTAAACCCAAAAACACCACAGACAGAAGCATCAGCATAGCAGAACTGCTGTGTCTCGGGATGGAGTCAACCAGTGGAGCTGTGACAAAGACAAACACAAGTGTTAATGCACACTGGCTCATACTCATATATCTTTTATATCTTCATATACACTGCCATGTTGTGTGGGTAAGATTTTATTTTGTTTGTTGAAAGAAATTAATACTTTTATTCAACAAGGATGCATTAAATGACCAGTGTAAAAAATGGCATTTCGTGCAGATCTAAGACCTTTTATCATGAGCGAATTAAAGATCAACTGATCTTGAATCATTACAGCGCATCTTCTGTTACATCATTTCCACAAAAACCCCTTCAGCTCTCCCAGAGGGATTTCTGGCAATTTTTGGCATTCTTTCAAAATCGTTCATGGGAGCCTTACACCCACTGGCTGTATATTTCTCCCATGTATGTATGTTGTTGAAAGACAGTCCCATGAATCCTCTGACCTTTCCGAAAGAATCTTGAACGCTTTCCAGCACTTTGGCCACGAAAACGAAGAAATGGGCCAAGGAGGCGGCCAATGTTTCTCTGTAAAAGTGCATGGGTACTAGCACGACCATGAGTCATATATCAGTAATTGCTCTCTAGTAGTCGATGCTATTATCACTGCAAGGAATTAGTAACTATTACCAAGTTATGGCAGACCATGTTAGAGGAGCCAAATTATATAAATGTGGCATATGGTGCTAAAAACAAAATGGATAGTACTGAATATAGGGTAAATTAGAGTGAATTCAGTAAAAGCATACAGGAAATATTTGTATGATATTCTGGTTCCAATTCAAATTATTTATTCATTTGGCCAATGTGTTTATCCCAAAAAACAGTGTTATTAGTATGTGTTCCACTGGCATCTTTCCACCACCAATTTCTACCATTTCAGCTATAGGAATTGATTCCACTTCATTTGGCTTCTGAATGAGTTTTTAGTTCTTATAACAATAGTAAAAACATTTTTTTTTTAATTAAATACCTTGTGTTATGAATGTGAATATTTGAGTAAACATTATCCTGTAAACAACCATGATGATCAGTATTGAGAGTTCAGTGAGAAAATCATGAATATTTTGTAAATCATTATCATTAATTATCATCATTACTCCAGTCTTCAGTGTCACATGATCCTTCAGAAATCATTCTAATATGCTGATATGATGCTCTTATTATCAATGTTGAAAACAGTTGTGCTAAATTAAAAATAACAGTGTTTATTTAAAATAGATATCATTTGTAACATTGTAAATTTCTTTACTGTCACTTTTGATCAATTTAATGCACCCTTACCGCATAAAAGTATTGATTTCTTTAATAAAAGAAACAAGAAAGAAGTGTAGTGTAACTTACAAGTTTGAGACTTGTGATTCATTCTTCTTTTTTAACCAAAAGGCACAAAAAAAAAAAAAAAAAAAAAAAAAAAAAAAAATTCCAGTGTTTTGCAACAGGATCTGAATATAAACTGGTTCTTGATTCTCAATCAGACTTATAACACACAAACCTTTTTTAGACTTAGTATTCTATTTACTCTACAAATAACTTATTCAAAAATGGCTAAATCAAAACAATAGACCAGAAAGCCTAATTCTTTTTAGTGGAGCCTGTTTTTTCTTCTTCAAAAATGAGGAGATCTTGCAAGCCATGATTGCTGGAAAGCAATTATCCAATTATCTTCCATAAGGCTTTCAGCATCATTGGTGGAGCATAAAAGCCCAATCTTTCAACAATATATAGTGCTGACAAGCTTCTGGTCTCAGGAAAGCAATCAACGTAATTATCCAGAAGAATTGAGGGAACGGTATATAGCACCCAACAAAGGCTAGAGAGGGAGATCAACTGAAATACCACTATGTAATGTCATCAAATATAAGCAGTTGCACACTAGAGATGTCAACTAAATCATGTCATACAGTATGTAGCACAACAGTTTTGTTACCTAAAGTTAACTGCGTGATGTAAACGATGACCCGGGAGCCAGGTTTCAACTCGAACTCCACAGAGATCTGATTCAATGCATTAACCAGGATTTCTGAGATCTAGGAAGAAAACCGCATTCAGAAGTGTTATATGCAGACTTGACTTCTAAATTGCCTGAAGAAAATATGAGTAGTGCTTACAAACATGATATATGGTTTTTGCATGTAGCTATTCATGTTGCTAAGGTGTCCTAGGGTAACTAAAATGAAATGAAATGAAACAATAATGCAAATAAAATGAAACAAAATAAATAAAATAAAATATATCACAATTTAAGGTATAATTTATGTCTATATAGCAAAAACCATGCTGCATGTTTGGTAGCATATGACAGCCCATGTACATCCATAAACAGTATTCTGCACTCCTGTTTGTATCAAACACAGAGCCTACTTAGATATAACAGTGAAAATTATGCACATTTTAATCTATAATGTCAGACTTTGACAACCCCGCAGTGAGACACACATAGCCCATCCCTCGCACCAGACAGGGTGAGTGCCAGTGAATGCCCAAATTATTTGTTATAGCTCTTTCTGCATCTTCAATGACAATAAATTTGGCCAAATAGTGAAACCTGTTGTTATTCTTAAGAGTGTAATTTGCCACTTGTGATTATGCCTGTGAGATACTAAAACACTGAGCTTAATTTTGTGAAATGGGAGTGTCAGTAGTGTGGGGTTGCAATAATTTGGGTTGTGAATCAAAAGAGTTAGGAGTTTAAATACCTAACCCTAAGTATGAGAAACGGGTGTAATGTCTCCACAAGCACTACTATTAAACATTTCACCCTCAAAAAATGTTATAAATTCAAAAGTCCCTACTGTAAAATACCCTTGTTGTGACACGTCCTTGTCATGTAAGCCTAATTAGACACGGGTCTTTCTGCTATTATCACAGAGATAATAATGCCTTTAAGGTTAAAGAAAAAAAAAGGTCGAAAAAAAGGTAATAGGTAGAAACAATTTTTGACACGTCGTCTCCATTTGTGGTCACAATTACTTTCATTGTAGCCCCGGGTAGAAGCTGTTCTTTTATTCTGATAAAGGTCCATCATTCTCAAGCGCATTTCAACCTTGACCATTAATGAGAAACCATCAAATTTGCATCAGATCTCACGTCTAACCTGCACCAGATCCTCCTCGGTCTGTTTCCTGCCATCTGATTGGTTCCTGGGAGGAGGAAGCAGGAAGAGTTCGGCGGCAGTCGGAATGCCTGGAAACACGGCCACCAGCAGCTGTTCTTCTGAAATGTCAGCGACCTGGGTGGCGCAAGACAAAATGGTACTAATTACATAAGGCTCAATGATTTATATGTTACGGTCTCCTGCATTTACGAGGGTTACCTTCATTTTAAATGAGGCTGATGGCTTCCAGTAAATCAGATTTGATATATACAGAATGAATCCTGGCCAAGAAATTATTAGACACAAGCGTGTGAGTGCAAGTGGTTATACACACATTGAATCCCTAAAAACCTCAATCAATATCTTAGTCAGAGAGCCACTACAAAGCCCAAAGGTTTAGACATTACGGGCTGCCGCAAAGCCAATAAAGGTAAGCCCACCATGTATTCTCCTAGAGATACTCACCAAAGGCCATTTCGTTCACAAAGAGGAAATTATCCGACCTTAGGTAAATAATCTTTGTTTTATTTGGTACTACCATGCAGGGCTTGACTGGTTATAAGACAATAGCTCAGGAATAGACAGCCTAAGCATAATTTACAATGAGCAATGGGGCCAGAGCTGAAGCAGTCTTACGAATCAATACTCTGAGTCTAAGTTTGTACTCACCGCTGCAATATTGGAGAAAGAAAAGCCCTGGGGCTCATTGAAGGATTCAGCCTATGTGCAACTGCTACTGATATTCCTAATGATTAATGCACATCTCCGAACTCCAGCCTTTATTTCTTTCTCAACACTCCAGATTCAACGCACACTCCGTCTGCTAGCGAATAAGGTCCAAAAAAGACAATTAGACAGCAAAAGAGAGACCTAATGTTGCAATGCTCTTAATTACACCCTGCTAATAGCTTAAGAGTCATTGTTGTAATTAAATCGCTTTATGTCAAAACATTCCCTTCCCAGACCGAAGAACTGCAGAATAACATTAAAAGGCACAGATGCAATAATCCATTATAGCAGAGGACAAAGTTGTTATTAAAGAGGTTGTTTAGACATCTGTTGGGTTTTCTGTCATTGTAGTTCATCTTTCCCTCCTTGGAAGCAAAGTCTTCAATGTGAAAGTCCTTGGGCAGGGCAGGGCTGTGAGTGTTTTTAAAGCACAACACTCACAGATGAACAATTTACTGAGAATTATTACAAAGCGAGACATTTTCACAGCATGGGCTGGGTTTTTGCTGGAGAATGTGCCGAAGTGCACTCTGGTCAGGCTGAGCATCCATATTAGGTAAATATGTCTGGATGTGGTGCATATGGAAATGCAGTTGATCCAGTAACAGGAAGACACACTCACCTCTATATATAGACTGGAGATGGAAGATGAAAGTGTCTTCCTGTTACTGGAGGAACTGAATTTACATTCGCACCACATCCAGACATAATTTATTTAATATGATATACATATATATACACTACTGTTCAAAAGTTTGGGGTCGGTAAGATTTTTTAAATGTTTTGTCTTATGCTCAGCGAGGATGAAATTAGTTTGTTCAGAAATAGTTAAAATGACCCTTTGTAAAGACCCGCCCCCCTTAGTTACTGTTGCTATGTCCGACAAGCCATGCTTTCACGCCACACATCATGTTCTCACGCAGTGAAAAATATATCACGGAGCAAAGTGGACACTGACAATGTGCTGACAGACAAGACAGAGCAGGTTACTTTTGGTATGAAATAAAGTCTCAGCTTTCAAATTTTGTAATTTTTTTAAGAAATTCAAATAATAAATAACATTTTGTGGCTCTTTAATGTGTTGAGACCGATCACCGTAGCACCTCAGTTCAAGCGGCACGTGAACCGATCATCTCTTCCTCTTTACTAGTTATAGCACAGAATAAACATGAATGAACATCAGAAAGTATCTTGTTTCAATCACTGAAAGACGTCAATAAACACCATTTTTCAAGTTCAAGTCCACCGACTTGAATCTCCTGTCTGGTTTGTTTGTTGGACAAAATGGCAGATTTGGCGTTATGATTGGTTAGATCACCTGTCAATCAAACTCACGGAGAAGGGTGAATTACAGTTATTACAAAGAAGTAAAATGTAATTTATTTCTATGATGGCAAAGCAGAATTTTCAGCATCATTACTCCTTTATCATAAAGTCTTCAGTGTCACATGATCCTTTAAAAATCAGACTAATATGCTGATTTGCTGCTCAAGAAACATTTCTTATTATTATCAATGTTGAAAACTGTTGTGCTGCTTAATATTGTTTATGGAAGGATTCTTTGATGAATAGAAATTTAATTAATTATTTTTTTTAAATGAACAGAACAATATTTATTTAAAATACAAACGTTCTGTAACAAAGTCACTTTATCAGTTTAAGTCAAGTCAATTTAATGGATCCTTGCAGAATAAAGTATTAATTTATTTTAAAACAATCTCACTGACCCCAAACTATACATACATTCATATACAGACATCGGATCCCTTTTGTGTGCTTTAAAATAAATGATTTTACATACAATATATTACAACAAATTAAGTTTTGAAGCTATTAAGCTTCAAAAACAGTGCAAAAGCAATGCAATGCAAAATCATAAAAGTGGCCAATACAACAAATAAGCTATATTCGAAGTCTTCTGAAGTCAAACAATAGCTTCATATAGGAATTGGGTTGGTATCCCTCTCCAACCAATCAAACCGTAAAAAAGTACCACCTTAAAATGCCTCCTGAACTATTTCAAATGAAAAGTATTTACCAAATATTGGACATGTTCACACAGCAGCAGAATATGGTTGTCAGTCCTGTATTTGAGTCCTTAATACGGTTACGTTCACACACAGTTCGGTTATTTATGGGTGTGACAACGTGTGTTTTCGGTAACTTCGCTAACTGCGTGTCTGTCGCTTGAAATTTTTAGATCCCGTCAGTTTTGTATTCTGTGCGCGACTCAAATACTCCGCTCTCCACCCAAATATAAAGGCTGCCGTCGGTTAATGAAGATTTGGTGGATGAACTTGCGGCTCGATTGAACTCTTGTTGTGTCAGAAAGTGATAAGACTTTCCGTTTTATGGACGTCGCCATCTTTGATTTTACTTTGGTCACTGTCGCTATGGTTACTGGTAAGGAATACGGGCTTGACTCCAGTTGCACATTCATACAAACAGTATTCTAAACACAACTGTAAGCTGCTGTGTGAACGGGACATTTCGAGACTCACACCTGTAAAGAAAATGTGGTTGTCAATCCCAAAAATTGACAGTGTGAATGTATCCATTAATCAAAATATAAAATTAGGCTCCATTTTGGCACGTTCACATATCATTGCTGGATGTAAAATATTGTGAAGTTTGATTGATAGTTATTGATCGCTAATGACACAAGTACTCATGACGATCCCTAGTGCAATGTGAGTCATACAGTACTTGCATCATTTCCTGATCCCATTCCCTTCTCTATTTCCTATTCTTTCCCTTTATACCCATCAATAAAAGTGTAAAAAAAAAGCCTAAAATAATAAACAAAACTTATCATTGGTTCTCCTTTCAGTATCAGAGTGTTTGTGATTCAAGTCCTGTGCTGACTCGGAGGCACTGGCTCTGCCTTTAACCCCTGCTACTGAAACCCTCTATTCTCATCTCAGGCTGCTATACTGCTATCATCCCGGTGCACCAGAACAGACAGCCGCCTCCACTCACCTCTCCTGCCCATTGCTTCAAACAGCCGTCTTAAATGGACCTTGACTTTGATTATGTCTGAGCCTCGCTCTCCCTCTCTTTTTAATACACTGAGCTGTTTATCAGCGGCAGTATGGATAAAGTGTATCAGCTTCCTCTAGTGCACTACGGGATGTGGTTTAAATGCGAGAGGATAAATGAAGGGAACAGGAAAAGGTGAGTCTCTTTACCACGAGAGCTCAATATTAAGTTATTAGGCTTTGAACTTGATGTTGAAACAAAGAGGGGAAAAGGTTGGAAGAGGGAAGTTTTACATCTGGCGAATTCTGGGTAAAGCCAGAGAATCTGAGGCCAGGAAGCAAAGACTGCAGATAATGAGAGAGAAAGAGCACATGTAGAGGACGGAGGTGTGTGTGCACTTTACGAGCAGATGTGAGATCAGTAGCCTCTTTGTGCTCAGCTGGTCTGACTTTGTTCTCAGGCAGATTCTAAAGCTCTGTTCTGGATGAGGGAGTTTAGATTGAATTGTGATATTTAGGGATTACTGTATTTTTGTGTTTTATGTCTGAAATAGAGAGAGAATGTGGCTGGCTTGATAAGCACAGCTTTCCTAATAAATCAGGAAGCTGAAAAATTACTTTAAATCAGACTAAGCTGGTCTTAGCTGGGCTCTTCTATTGGTCTACCGGATGGGTTTTGAGCACTGTGGGCACTATGAGACCAGCTGCCCACACCCCTAAACCAGCAAGACCATCTTAAACCATTTAAAGTCCAACAGACCAGCTTATGCTGTATAAGACATTTCTACTTGTATTTAGGGAGGATGCGTTAAATTGACCAAAAACACTTTTCTAATATTACAAAAGATTTGTATTTCAAATAATTTCAGTTGTTTTTAATTTTCTGTTCAAATATTAAGAAGCACAAATGTTTTCAACATTGATAATAGGAAGTTTTTTTTTTTTTTGAAAGAAAGAAAGAAATGTATACTTTTATTCAGCAAGGTGCATTAAATTGATCAAAAGTGACAGTAAAGACTTTTCTAATGTTACATTTATTTTTTTCCAAAATAAATTCAGTTCTTTTGAATCCTGAAAAAATTTTAATGCCATTTCCACAAAAATATTAAGCAGCACAATCGTTTTTAACATGGATAATAATTAGATTTTTTTTAGCACAAAATCAGCATATTAGACTGATTTCTGAAGGATCATGTGACACTGAAGACTGCTGAAAATTCAGCTTTACCATCATGTTGATTTATTTTAAACCTTTTTTATATCAATTATTTTATGATATTTCACAAATGTATTTATTTATTTACGTACTTATTTAATGTAAATAAATGCAGCCTAGTCGAGCATAAGAAACTTTAAAAAGATTAAAATTTTATTGACCCCCAAATTTTGCGTAATAGTTCAAACGATTATTGCATAATTATTTGGGCA